AAGAAGAAGACTTTTTTCTAAAAACATTAGATCAAACCTATTTATACTAAAAAGATAAATGCCCTAGATTAATGGAAAAGTTATAGATAGAAGAAAGTTAAGACTGGTCTGTATCAGTCTCAAGTGATCGATAGGAGTGATCGATAGAGCATTTGCTGCTTTCCCATCAGTCACTCCTTGACCAATAGGCTTGATCGATAGGCTTCTGTTGAATTCCCATAGGTCAGTCTTGACCGATACACTTGACCGATGGAGCATCCGCTTGTTTACCATCGGTCACTCCTTGACTGATAGGCTTGATCGATAGGCTCCTGCTGCTTTGTATCGATCATGCCAGACCGATAGGCTTCGTGCTTTGACCGATGAAACACCATAAATTTCCTTTCTTAGCTCCTTTTGCTCCTCCTCAGCTTGGTTAGCTCCTTGATCCATTTACACACTTCCTCCTTGCTCCATTTAGCTTCTTAAGTACCTAAAAACATCTTTAATGCATAGGGAATGCAAACTACAACCTAAATGCAACCTAAGTCTAAAAGGAAAGAAAAATGGGACTAAAGAGAAAGAAAACATGCAAAAGGAGACCAAAATATGAACTAAATGCAAGCCTAAATGATGTAAATGCATGAGATATCAACACCCCCACACTTGCCTTTTGCTTGTCCTCAAGCAAACAAACTAAGACAATTGGAGGATGAGGTTTGAAGGTGGGCATTCAAATCCAAAAATGCAAAGGTAAAGAGATAAAGTCAACACTTAAGTGCCTAGTTGTAGGATAAAAACACAATCAGTTATACTTTAAAGAACCTAGCCATGCTCATCATGTTTCAAAATGATCTCAAATCTCAACCTAGACAAATGCTCAAATTAAACAACTCTTTAACATTCATTAAGCTTATAACCATGAATCAAGTTTGTGCAAATCAAGTGAAGACATTTGGTTTTAAGGGTAGGTTATGAGATTAAAATAATCTCATTCAAGCACAGGGTTCATAAACATAAGGGATCACTCAATGAAAATAATTTACTTTTAGGAAAAATGCTAAAGGTAAAAGCACACTTATGCATGCAAATCAAAGCTCTCTTCTACCTTTTTACCCAAAGATGAATCCTAAGATCTTCTAAACCCCAATGTAAACCCCTAAGTCTACCATTTTCCTAAACTCTAACCCTTCTCCTTCTTCATGGTTGGGGAAAGTTCTTCTTTATGCTTGTGTGGTTGCTTCTTTTTGTTGGGTCTTGCTCCTTTCTTGTTGATTAGGCGCCATTTTTCACCTTTGGTGGATTGCCTTGGGTCTGATTTCTTCTTTTGGTTGACCCTTTCAAAGCTTTGTTGTTGGCGCCTTCCTTCTTTAAACACATAGAGCTTTTTCTTCCCTTTACTTAACCACAATGCTAATTGTTTCCCCATACTACAATTCTAAACTTTTCCATTTTCTTTTAAAGAATATAAACATGAAACTCAAACCACTTAACTCTACCCTTTTATCCCAAACTCCTAACCTAGAATCAAGCTCAAAATGCAAGCTGATATCTACAAGAGAGCTTTTCATTGCCAGCCTTATTCCTAACACTTTTTACTAAGACAAAATTCGAAAATGATATGCAAAAGCCTCAAAACTCTCAAGATAGTGTTTAAGCTCAAAAGGAGGTTTGGTTAAGGGAGTGGATTAACTGTCCCATAAGTATGAGGATCAGCTATTTGGATCAACAAGAGTGGTGAAAAGGAAGAAGATGATCCAAATATGTATATGGTAGCCATGAATTCACTTTTCAATGCACAAACATGATAATTAAAAATTCAGATTAAGGTTTGAATAGATAGAATTGATTTTCAAAGAAAAAATGCTTTCAATATGAGATGAGAGAATCAAAGTTAGCAATTCAAACATGGTTCAACCTTAACTTCTAGCTTTCTCATGATGCATCAAACACCTAACCACTTAAACATTGAAATCATCTCTAAACACTAAGCATTTTACAAGGAGAATTCATCATCATGCCCTATGCAAATGCAATGCAGCCTATATGCAAACACTAGACTCAATCTTAAGCAAATGAAATGCAACTATATGCTCTCTTTTTGGTTTGCAAAAACATGCAAAACTTTCAAATTTTTTTTGATTTTTTGTGTTTTTTTATGCCTTAGATGAATGCATGATATGCATGTGACTCAAAGATGAAAGAGATGAAAAACTAAGAAAATAACAAACAAAGTCAAACTCCAAATCTCTCCCCCACACTTAAACAGTCTCTTGTGTAATGAAAGGAGTGAGAGAGAGAAGCAAAAGAATATAAAAAAAACTTAAAAAGATGCAATGGTGTATACAATGGAAGGATATGGTACCTTAATTGTTTTAATAGGAATAGTGGGATGATCCAGATGTTTCTGGTTATGGAGACTGACTCGCCCTCCTCTTGTTTCTCCTCTGCTTGCCTTGTGAAGAAGTTGCTGGTTCTTATGGTGGAGGAACCCAACTTGGCCAATGAGCTTGTACTTGAGTTAAGTTGCCTTGAATGTCCCACTCTTGCCATGTTTTATAACCCTCAGAAGAAGTGTAAGATGGCGCCTCCCATGATGATGGTTGTTGGGACCTAAGCTCATAGGATGAAGCCCTAGAAGGTTCCCAAGCTGCCCATTGATCAGTTTGTTGCACTTGGAAGGAGTGTCTTCCTTGGGGCACCCAAATTGCTTCCTCTTCTTCATTAGGTTCTTCTTATGGCACTTGCTCTTCAAAGTGGGTAGTGTACTCATGACCATGGCTTTGTTGGGAAGCTCGTCTTGATATAGACTTGTCTTTCTTGAACTTTCTTTTGACCAGATTCACTAACTTCTTGATGGTCTTATCCTTCCATTTACACCACTTTTGGAGTTTGTTGATGTAGTCATGGGCATACTTCATAGAGCTTCCTTGGCTTGGAATCTCATGAGATTTGAAGTGAAACCTCTTGGTGTTGTATTCCAGCAACTCATTCTCATCTAGCTCTTCCTCTTGGGAATCCTCTTGGCTTTCAGCGCCAACAACAGCTTCTTCTTTACTGTTTTCTTCACCTCCTTCTTGCACATCTTCTTCACTATTCTCTTCTCTTTCTTTAATGACAGGGCCACCATGGTAGAGCTGACTTTGATCTGGGAAAAAGTGGATATTACTCCTCATCATGATGGATGTATGCTGCACATTTGAGAGGAGGAATCTTGCTGGCTCTCTGAATTGCTTGAGGAACTTGTAAACATGCTTCCCTTGGGTGCTCTTCTCAAGGTACTGACTCCTTCTGAGATACACCAGTCCTATCCACAGTGGTGGCAAAGCATCTTCAGCATGCTCCTCAGGATTCACACCACTTGCCATCATGATGGCTGTCACAACTCCTCCAATGTGCAGCTGTGGGTTCTTCTCCCTTTTTCCCTTGTTCAAGATCCAGCTCCTATAGGAATAGTTTTGCTCCATCAGTAGAGTCACATAACAAGGGTATTTCTGGCGTCCCTAGAAGTATTCCATCCTTGCTGGAGCTCACTAGTGGTTACATTGCATTGTACATGAAATCCAGTTCCTTTGTTGTTAAGTTGGTTGTCTCCTTTTTTGCAAAGAAAGTGTTTGCAAGAGCCTTGTGAGTATATCTCACAGCTGGATGCTTCAGATGCTGGTTCCTTGTGACTCCTGGAGTATATTTTCCAGCCCCAATCACTTCCCATAGCATTTTATGCTGTCTCTTGCTGATGTTGAACTTGTCCCTCTTATCGACATAAAGATACATACCAAGGCCATCAGAGATCTCATTGAAGGTTGTTGTGAACTTCTGCTTGCCCAGTCTGAATAATATCCAGCCATCTCCATTGGGAAGTTCACTCTCTTCATAGCTCACCACTTTGAAAGTATAGAGAAACTGATAGGTGAGATGCTTGTAGGAAGGAAGTGCTTTCTCCATAAAATTTCCAAGCCCCATGCTTTCAAAAATTGTTTTCCAATCTGCATATATCCCAAGTGCCTTCATTGTGGAGGTGCAAGGGTATCTTGTAGCCTTGAATGTACACTGATTGAAGTGCTCCATGAGTTCCCTTACACTTAGCTCCTTAGTTGAGACTTCTTTCACAGCCTTTCCCTTTCCTTTGGACTTGGCAGCCTTGCTCTCAACATGTCTCTTTCCAGCGGCTTTTGATGATTGTCCATCAGCAACACCCTTGCCCTTGTCTCTTCTGGTAAGTGGAGAAGGTGCTTCCTTTTGTGGTGCTTGACCTTTGTTTCCATCAGCATCTTTAGTTATCACCATGTTACCTACAAGAACAAAGCTTGAAGATCCAATAAGTAGAAGAATTAAAGTTGCAAAGCAATGACTTAAAGCTCTTAAAAAAAATTCTCAAATCTAGGAGGAGTTTAACTAGCATTTAAACAAAGTCAAACCTCTAAAGATCTAAGAGAATTCAAAAGCTAATAGTCACAAACATGCTAGAGTTCTTAACAGATTCAAACTATTATTCATATGAACCTAGCATGGTGGCCTTAAACAAAGAAATATGATCATGCAAAGTGAATTTAAAGCAAGCAAGCAATTAAGTGTATGAACAGTTATCAATCCTAAACATCCTACATGCTTAACTAACAAATTCCACCATGCAAAAATCAAAACAAGCACTTTAATCTAATCAAAACTAGCTCTTAATGCAAAATATTCAAAAACTTTAAACAAGCTCAAGGCATAAGAACTAGAAATGAATAGTTTAAGAAAGCAAAGCTTTTAGGATTTCTGAGCACTTAAGAGAGACAAATGAAAGAGAGAAAAAGCTAATAGATTTCGTGGTCTAAGTGAGAGAAGAGAGAAAATGAAGTGTGAAGAGTGAAGAGAAGTTAGATGGCTTTTATAGAGCTTAAGGGGGAACATAAGGAATCTATAATAATTAATTTTTTAGGGGTTCATGGTGTGGATATTGATTTGGAGAAGAATGAAATCAAAGTAGAAGGAAAAATAGAAGTCATGAAGATTCACAAGCAAATCAAAAAATAAAGCAAGAAAAAAGTTGAGCTCATCTCTCCCAAACCCTCTGATGTTAAGAAAACCACCACTACGACGACGACAGCAACAACTTCCGTTGTAGCGAAGATAACCACCGAGGTCAAAAAGGTAATTTTGCATAATATATACTCATATTCATGTGAGCGTGTTTTTTGTTTGTTGTCCAAACAAATGTGCATGTGTTCTCATATAATTATCCACAAGATGTTATTCGCACGACAGTACTAAAGGTACACATTCATTGCGCAAAGTGTGACAAACATCTTCAGGAGAAACTCTTGAAGCACAAAGGTAATATCGGGTTAGTGTAATTTGAATATTGATATATCATATATATTTTCTAGAAGTCACACATCTAACTTGGTTAATTTGGCACCTATTCACATCGTGAAAACGGATACAAAGGCGCAAACGCTAACGGTACAAGGGATGCTAGAATCCGCAAAACTTTTAACTTATATAAGGAAGAAATTTCACAAACATGCAGGGATCGTAAGCTCAAAGACATACGCTATTCCCATCGACAGAATACTATGACTTTCACTGGCAGAATACTCTCCTGCCTATTCCCATCGGTCACTCATGACCGATACGAGTGACCGATAATGTATCTGTTTGGTTTCCATCGGTCACTTGTGACCGATACAAGTGACCGATACTAGTGACTGATACTACATCCGCTTGATTTCCATCGGTCACAAGTGACCGATAGGGATGACCGATGGAAACCATGCTTGCACTTTTTTTCCCCATCGGTCACAAGTGACAGATGGGATTGCCCGAAGCACTTCTGGTTCCAACAGTATCGATCACTACAGACTGATGGTCATGACCAATAGGCTTGTATCAGTCTGGCATGACCGATACAAGTGATTGATACCAGCCAGAAGGCATCTGTTTTATTTTTCTAAACATTTGCTCAATCCCCAATCCAAACTCCTGCTTCTAAGAACACCAGAAAAACCTAAACATGAACTAAAAAGCATAATATATACAATCCCAAGTGTGCTTGTTTAAAGTCACTTAACTTGACTTTGATTACCTCTTTAGTGGAGGTAAGGAGAAGGAGTCTTGGAACTCCTTGGTGGCGTGTTGCTCCTTTTGATCCTGGTGGTGACTCCATCAATCCTCATCTCAGCAAAGGGCTTAGACTTGCCTCCTTTCTTCAGCTTGTAGCAGAATTCACCATCCTTAGAACAAAAGGGCTTCAAGATCACCCCTCCTTTTTCAGTAACCAACTTGATTTGATTCATCTTCTTGTAACCAACCACTTCAAGGACCTCCTTTTCAGTGGTATCTTCAAACAGCCTTGACAAACAGCAACCATCAAAGCTCTCTCCTTGGTAACCGTTAAACTCTAGCCAGTTCTTGTCAACTCCTTTCATCTTGTTCAGCTCCATGGAGAAAGCATGATCATGCTCTAGCTTGTTGCCCTTGCTGTCAAACTTCAAGACCTTATCCTTGGTAAGCCTCAGCTCTGTTGTGCATTCTCTAGCATCAAATATAGCTCCAGCTGAAGCTAAAAATGGCCTTTCAAGTATAATTGCATTCTTGACCTGTCCTTCAACATCTAGCACCAAGAAGTCTGTAGGAATCTTGACTTCTTCTATTATCATGGGTACATCCTTGAGAGCTCCTAATGGCATCTTCACAGTCCCATCAGCAATGGTTAGAGACACATTGCTTTGCTGGTACTTGGTGTAACCCAACTCCTTGGTTGTAGAGGCTGGAAATAGATTGATGCTTCGACCCAAATCACACAAACAGCTTTTGAAAGTCTCGTCCTTGAGCTCACATGGGAGTGTAAAGCAACCAGGATCTCCAAGATTCTTGATGTTCAGCTCCTTAACTTCTGGTGCTTCAGCCTTAGCTCTCAGTTTCCTAAGCTCTTCTTCAGCATCTAAACCTCTCATTTTCATTTGAGCAGCATAAAGAGTCTCATACTTCTTGACTAGTTGCTCCTTGAATCTTCCTGGAAATGGAATGTCAGGTGGATAAGCTGGAAACAAATCAGCTTGAGCTTCCTTCTTAGCATCAGAAACTTGAACAAGTTCCTCCCCCTCACTTTGTTCATCAATGTCCTCATTGATCATGGACAGAAACTCATCTATAATAGCATCTTCCTCAGGGGTGAAAGCATCAAGAGATTCAACAGCTTGGCAGTATTTCTTTGGGTTCATCTCACATTTTCTAAGGAGATTACCTTGAGGACGTGGTGTACTTGCAACTCTTTGTTGTTCTCTAAGGTTTTCACCCTTGCAGATAAGCCATCAAACTTGTTTGTCAACTCCACATGCACAAAATCTATTGTGGATCTCAGCAAACTTTTTGTTCATCTCCAAGGTTGTGTTGACCTGATTGTTGATCATTTGCTGCATCAGACTTTTGAGTTCAGGATCTTGGGAGCTTGAGGAAGCTTGTGCTGGAGCTTGAGCATTGATTCCTAGAGGGTTGTAGAGCGCTTTAGGCTGGAAGTTGTTGTTCCTTTGTAGAAAGCCTTGATTCTTGTTATAGGTAACAAAAGGTCTTGCTTGGCCAGCTTGTTGTTGTTGTTGAGGTGGATAGTGATATACCATGGTTTTTACTGGTTTTTGACCATGATATAAGTCTTCTTTATGGAGTCTTTTTGGTATTTTTCGAGTCCTATAGAGTCTTTGCAGGTCTGGGTACAAATAGAGCATAATTGTGGATTTTGGAATCTTTTGGAGCTATACTGAAGTTGATGCTGAAAGGACCAAGTCGGAGGGCATTAAGGAGCAGGGTGTCGATCGACACCCACCACTTGGTGTCGATCGACACCGGTCGTGGTCGCGAAGAAGCATAAAAACTCATTGGAAGAAATTTGCAACTTAGCCCAGAAGTTTCCCACTATTTGCACTTTTACCCCAGTTCATGTTTAGACTTGTATTTAGTTTTTTTAAGCCATTGTTAGGCAACGATCTTGTTATCATTGAGACTAAGAGAGAGATTAGATTGAGAGCTTTTGGGGAGACAAATCCATACTCTGTAGAGAAGAATTTCGAACCCCTTCATCATTTACTCTATTTTCTTAATGCAATTTTATTCAGTCATGATTTGTGTTACACTTGCTATGTCTGAGTAATCTGGTAGTTAGGATTTGGGTTATTCAAAGGTTGATAATCAATTGTTAGAACTACAAAACTGGAAGGATAAATCAATTGGTTCTTCATCTAGATTGCTTTAACACTGATTTTAAGATTGATCACCTAGAAATCAGATCTTAGGTTGTTTAATAGATGTGGAAGCATTGTTAATCACCAGAACTATCTTAGATGAGCAAAATAACTAACTGCAAAGGAATTTGGATTAGTGATTTTGTGAACATATCGAACCTGATCTATAATGTATGTTTAGGTTGTTAGAGTTTGCAAAGGAATTTGGAATTCTAGAATCTGATCATAGTTAATCTCTGCGACGGAAGTCGATTGGTTTTACATTAGTATTTCGAGTTCTGGAACAGTTTTAAATAAATATTCCTTTCAGTCCATAGTCTGCGATTTATGTCAACCTGCGAATTTTCCATTGCCTAGCGCTGGTCTTTATTGATTTTAAGAATCTACAAACCCCTCCTGATTTCATTGTTTTCGCTACCATCTTAGTTTTATTTTATTATTGACTGCTTAGCTTTATTTGAATCTAAAATCTGTTGAGTGATAGCCTTAAGTCCTTGTGGATTCGATCCCTAAGTACTACATTGATCTATTAATTTGAGAGAGTAGCTCTAAGGGTTAATTTGAGCATATCAAATTTTGGCGCCGTTGCCAGGGACTTAGATATTACTTTCAGATTTTTAGTTTTAGAATTCTGACTAAGCTTTTATTTTCTGTCTACTAACTTTGTTCCTTTCTCTGCTGTCTGCTTCAGGTGCATGCATAATCGCAGTACCAGGAGCAACAAGGACAAGCAACTCGTGACTTTAGGCATCGAAGAACTCGCTAAGTTAGAAAGAACCATCAGGAAAGCCAAGAAGCAGGATAAGATGGTTGGACCAGTTGTTTTGAGGACAGATGCGGAGGGTCATTTAGTTGATAGAGAATAGAATAGAAGGAATGAAGATGGTCAGAGGATAGATGAGGATGGCGTTGTGATTGAGGAACATGATGTGCAACCAGTTGTGCGAAATGTACAACAACAAGCTGCTGGGAATGCTGCTGGGCATTTTCCACAGAGGACCCTTGTAGATTACAACAGGCCTGATCAGTTCTATGCAAATAGAGCTGCAATCCGCCCACCTGCCTTTCAGAGGAATGACTTTGAGCTGAAACCCAGTTACTATCAGCTTGTAGGTCAGCATCCCTTCCATGGACTGCCACATGAACACCCAACGGACCATATAGAGAAGTTTGAAGACTTGGCTACAAGTGTTAAAGCCAATGGAGTCACCAAAGACTTCTTATTCTGCAAGCTCTTCCCTCACTCTTTGGAAGGTGATGCAGCACACTGGCTTAAACAGCTGGTGCCTGGCTCTTTGACCACATGGGAAGACACCAAATCTGCCTTCCTCAACAACTTTTATGATGATGCAAGATCAGAGGAGTTGAGGACAAAAATCGCCACTTTCTCCCAAGGTCCAGCTGAAGCTTTCAAAGCAGCCTGGGTAAGATTCAAACTGTACCAAAGGGATTGCCCGCACCATGGTTTAAATGAGGTGCAGCTGCTGGGTATCTTCTTCAAAGGTGTGGATTGGAAGTACCAGATGGCTCTGGATGCAGCAAGCAATGGGAATTTCAACACTAGAATCCCAGCTGATGCCATCAAAATGATAGAAACCTTGGCTTCCAGCAACATCACAAAGAATGCTAATTTTGAGAGGCAGAAAACGCTGGAAATGCAGGGAGCAATAAGTTTGCTGCTAAGATGAAGGCTAAACTGGATTCTGTTCACAACCTCTTGATGGGTAAGAAGTCTGTTCAGTTTGCTGCTGAAGTTGAAACATTTGAACCAGCTGAGGAGTTTGAAGAAGAAGATGTCAACTACATCAATGGAGCTGGTTTCCAAGGTCAGAGGTACAACAATCAGCAAGGCAATAGAGGATTCAGTGGGAATACGCAGAGGAGCAGTTTCACAGGAAGTCAGAGTTCTTCTGGTTACACCCCCAAGCCTCAGTTTCAGAAGTCTGAATACCAGAAGCCTTACCAGAACAGCAACTTCAATAGGAACTATGGTTCCTCATCTTATCAGCCTGCACCAGCTCCATCAGCTTCAAGCAAGATGGAAGCCATGATTGAGCAGTTTCTAGAGGGGCAACAGAAGATTACAGTTGACTTCAATGGCAAGATTGACGCCCTATATCAGGACATGAATGGAAAAATCGAAGCTCTGAACACTCATGTGAAGACTTTGGATACTCAAGTGGCTCAAACTGCTGGGGCTATGAAAAGGCAAGATGGATTCCTTC